GGTCTGCAATGGCCAGGTCCTGGGATGAAGGGGCAACTGGAGGGGACAGGACTGTGACAAGGGGATGGGAGGAAGGGAAAAGTCTCCAGTTCCAGTGCTGGGCTGCCTCTTCCTGCACTGCTGGAGCCACGGATGGGTTTGGAACCAGCCTGGAGCTGGAATATCTGAGCTTAAATACGCAGAGCCCTGAGCTGCTGCAGGTCCAGCAGATCCTCTTCACAGTCATTTCTCGGGGCACTGAGGGAGGATGAGCCCAGGCCTGACACCGCCTGGGAGGGTTTAGCCATGAACCGTGTGAATCGTGGCGCAGCAGCACTGCTGGGGGGGAGCTCCCGAGACTGGAGGGAGAGCCTGGGTGTGTGTGTCTCACTGGCTCCGCTCTGTGTCTTGCAGGATGAAGTGAAGCTCCCGTCTAAACTGAGCATCAGCAAGTCTCTGAAGGAGGGTGAAAAGCTAGAGAAGGAAGGTGAGGGCGAGGAGGTGCCTGCAGGTGAGGACCATGCAGAGGAGGACCATGTCCAGCTCTCCTCAGATGAAGAGGTGGAGATTGAAGAGATTATTGAAGAGTCACGGGCAGAGCGCATCAAGAGGAGCGGCATGAAAAGAGTGGATGACTTTAAGAAGGCATTCTCAAAGGAGAAGATGGAGAAGACTAAGCTAAAGACCAAGGAAAACCTGGAGAAAACCCGCCACAACTTGGAGAAGACCCGCCAGAACCTGGAGAAGAGGATGAACAAGCTGGGCACCAAGATTGTGACTAATGAAAGGAGAGAGAAGATGAAGACCTCTCGGGACAAGCTGAGGAAGTCCTTCACCCCTGACCACACCATCTACGCCAGGTCCAAGACGGCTGTCTACAAAGTGCCACCCTTCACTTTCCACGTCAAGAAAATAAGAGAGGGGGAGGTGGAAGTGAAAGCCACGGAGCTGGTGGAGGTTGATGGAGAGGAGGGAGAAAACTCGGATCTGCTGCGTGGGGAGAGCCCCGAGACGCACACGCTGCTGGAGATCACGGAGGAGTCGGACGCGGTACTGGTGGACAAGAGTGACAGCGAGTAGGACACGGGCTGCAGCGCGGAAGGGTTGTGGAGGACGGCTGAACACGGAACCATTCACATGTCAAGATCTTCTCTCTGCCCTGGTGCCCCAGGGCAAGTGTAC